GGGGGAAGAAGAACGAACTGGGGATGAGGGTGGAGAAAACAGTGCAACAATGAATGAATGAAAACCCAAAATCTCTGTAAACGTTCATTAAAACTAATAAAATTTAATTTAAAAAAAAGAGATAAGTTATTCAAAACTAAAACAGGCTTTGGTTGCTTCTGTCTTCCAGTCTGAGCTGGCCACAAACCCAAGGTACCAGTTTATAATTTATATATCTGTAGGGACCGGAGTGGCCTCAGTACTGAGAAGCGCAGAAAGTCCAGGGACTCCTCACACCTGCCCTCAGCACTGGGAGGTCCATCTCTTAGACTCACTTCATTGCTGTCTAGTCATGACTGGCTCACAGCTGACCCTCCAGCAAGTTGTGGGGTTGTAAATGGCACCGGAAGAAACTGCCCATCTTTCTTCCTCACGGCAGCTAGTGGATTTGAACCCCCAGAGAGACACAGCCTTTGGATTGACAGTGCAACTCCCTATGGAGAGATGCAGGAAATAATCACAGTGTGTCAGAGCAGGAGGCAGGGATTTTAAGAGCCGGGTTTCAGAAGCAGATGACCAGGCATCTCTCTCAAGGCATCTCTGTGTGGGGCTTGGACTCAGTTAACACAAGTGCATTAACATCATCACCCAGCGACTGTTGTGGTTGGGTGCCATCAAGTCAACAACTCACAGCAGCCCCATGAAGAGCAGATCTGAACCTTGTCCTGTCCTGTGCCATCATCACAACCTCCGCCAGGTTCAAGCTCACTGTCACAGTCACAGTGTCAGTCCATCTCATTGAGGGGCTGCCTCTCTTTCATTCACACTCTACCTCTCCTAACATGATGTCTCTCTCCAAGGGCTGAACCCTCCTGGAAACATCCTCTAAGTATGTGAGATGCACTTTCATCATCTCCTCTAAGAAGCAACCTAGATGAACTTTGCAGATTTATTCGTTCATTTGGAAGTCTATGATATATAGTCAATACTCTTTGGGAATACTGCAATTCAAAGGCATGGATTAAAAAACTCTCAACCCCCAGCTCCCAGCTGAAAACAAAGGAGGATGCTTCAATGATTTAGATCCTCCCAAAAGAGCTGTGGGTGAGCATTAACATTACTGGTAAGTATATTTGTTTTCTCCTGGACACAAGAGCCTACTATTTGGTCCTAAAAGCCTTCTGAGGTCCCAACTCTTCTCACTATTTCTTAGTTGTTGGACTTGATGGAAAACCTCATAAGCAGTTCCTTACTTCACCTCTGCCTTGCATGCGGACTTCCAAATTGTAAAACAACCCAGTTGTAGATGGAATTTGCTCCAGGACTTAAGAACAATAAATGACATAGTTGAGCCTCTACATCTTGTGGTTCCTAACCTATATACTATAATAGACAAAGTACTAGTCAACAGGCCTTTTATTGTAAGAACTACCTTCCCTCTGTAACTTGATTTATGCCACTATTAAAACCTCTACTTGGAATATTATTGCTTTTTCATTTTTGACTCATGTACTTTTAACTTGTTAGTTAAATTTGTGTCTTCTAGGCTGCAACACTTCCATGATACATATTCAAGGATATGAAAAAAACTCTTAACCTTATGAATAACAGACTGAGGTGTCGCTGGAGTCGGAACCAACTCACAGCTGACCCTGAAGTGGGTTTTTAGCCCCAGTAAATCACAGGAGAGAAACTGTCCATCTGGATTCGAACAGCATGCCTTTGGATTGCAGCGCAGCTTCTAACAACTAGGCCACCGAGCTCCCTAACAGGCAGATTCAAGTCTCTCGGCCATTGTTGTTGCTGCTATCTACCGCACGGTGGCGCTATTGGCAGCAGGTTTTACACAGGTGGTTCAAAATGCATCGGTTGCTCTGTAAGAGAAAGGTGTGCAGTCTCATCCCTTCTGATACACTGCCCTGAAAACCTGCTGGAGCTATGGGTCAGTCCCGACTCGACGGTGCACAACATCCACCACCTCCACTTGGAGGATCCACTCAGATGGCCATGAACCTTCCAGCTATGGGTGCTTCTTGTCCAGGTCCTGAGTCACAGAAAGTTCCACTTTAAAGTGCCAGGTCAGGATCGGTCCACTCCCGTGGCCTTAGAATTCTAGTCACCCCTCAGGGAGCTCTGGTGGCCTAGTGGCAAGAAGCTGCACTGTAATCCCAGAGGCATGTGGTTCGAATCCACCAGATGCTCTGCTGGAGAAGGAGGGGCAATCTCCTCCTGTACCAGTCAGATCTGATTTGACGGCACACACACACAAAATAATAAAATTAGAAAAAAAAAGTTACCCCTCAGAGTCTATCAAAGACCCTCTGGTCTACAAATCCTTCATTCTAGGGACAGAGTATCAGGAATGCATCAGGCTTCATGGAACAGTGATGGTGGCTTAAACACAAGGTCTCCTTTTTCTCACATAAGAAGTCACAAGCAGTGGTCGCTGTGTTGATGCAGCTGTTCAGCAAAGCTCTTAGGGATCCAGCCTCTTAGATCTCTACAAAATCCTCCTTCCTTAGCAGGCTGGCTTTTGTTGGAGTGCTTGCTGCCTCCAGGCTGCAGGATGGCTGCCACAGCTCCACACTTCACGTCCATGTTTAGGAGAGCAAAGGGGACAACCATTTCTCACCCCAGTCATCAGGAAGAAAAAGTTTTTCCATGGGGTCCCTCAGACAACTTCCTGTTGGTCAAAATATTATCACAGGAATACCTCAACCTTCAAGGAAGCCTAGAAAATGAGGACCCTCCTTTTACACAAATAACACAGCTCTTCTATGTTTGTTTTCCAAAGGCTAAAAAAATTAGCAAAATACATTTGCAAAAAAAAATGTTGCCTGGGGAAGGGAAAGCTTAGCAAACAAATTAGACGGTGCGTGTTATTTTCGTAACATTATGGTCTTTTACTTTTCTGGTCTGTGCTGAAGGAGGTGGAGACCGAGAAAGTGGTTGTTGGACAATGAATAATGTCTCTATGAGTCTCCCCTTATGGGTCCTGCACCTTTGGCCTCTCCAGGGAGGGAAAAAAACACCTCATCCGTGACCAGCCCTCCTCAGAACCACAGCGAGACTTCCCTGCCCTCTCCTCCCAGAACAGAGAGAAAGCAGCAAACAGGAGTGTAAATCTTCAGAGGTAAGAGAGGCCACATAATTCATATCAGAGAGGAAATCGATCTCAATTAGCTTCCTTTTCTCTCCAAGAGGCTTATAAGAATGAGAGGAGAAAGGCAGAAACTTAAGACACCAGCCCACAACTCCTCTGCCTGGGATCTAGCAGACAGCCCTCTGTTCAGCAGGGATGAGTGTTTGAGTGAGAGGTGTGGTTGTGGGGGAGTGGAGAGGGAGAAGGAGCCTTGGTGGTGTAGTGGTTAAATGCATGGCTGCTAACCAAAAGGTCCGTTGTTTGAACCTACCAGCTGCTCATGGGAAGAAAATGAGGCAATCTGCTCCATAAAGCTTACAGCGCTGGAAACCTGGTGGGACAGCACTGCTTTCTCCTCGGGGGTCACTGTACGAGTCCGAACTGGCTCAACAACAATGAGGTTTTGTTTATGCTTTTTGGAGAGGTGGAGATTGTTCTGCAAACACAAAGGGGGGAACACTAATGAGATAAGAGACATAAATTGGGAGAAAGGAAGACAAGGCAATGCCAGGTGTGGTCGGACTCAATTCCTGCTGCTGTCAGCTCCGGCTCACAGCACTCTTCACTGGCTTTCCGAGGCTGTACATCGGGCAGGAGCAGACAGAGCCGCTGGTGGACTTGAACCTCCAGAGCCGACACAGCCTTTTTATTAGCAGCACAACACCCTAAGGACCAGGTCCTCAGAGCTCCAGCACACTGTCACCACAGCAAAGGAAGACAGGAAGGAGCGTGAGACTAGAGACAACAGAGGTAAATACCACTGCAGGCCCAGTCCGAGATTAGCAGTAAGAGTCGACATTAATCTAGGAGCGGATACGTAGACAGACAGGCAGGATGAACAGGTCTGTGTAGATGGATGAAACTACACCCACAACCACGCAGATTTGGAAGTCGTACTTCTACACAGGCATCTGTAGGTGCTGTAAATAGATGCGCTGTACAGCGTAAACAGGGGAGAAAGGATGTAAACCTCTTAGTCAAACTCAAACACCTCGGGGGAACGAGTTGCTGGATTTGAGAGCTCAGATGTAAATGTGGTGGAGAATTGGCATAACATCATCCACGAAGTCAGTGTTCTCCATCCTAGTTAGATGAGTATCACCTGAGGTCTGAAAAGCTTGTGGGCAATGAGCTAAAGTACAACTATTGGTCTCTGTTCAGAACAAAGTGAGCGAAGGAAATGAGAAAACCCGGTAGTCCAAAGGACCAGTGGCCCCCAGGGACTTCAGTCTCCATGGCTCTGAGACCAGAATCTCCAGATGGTGCCCGGCTACCACCGCTGCCTGCTCTGCACGGGACCACAGGAGAAGGTCTCTGACAGAGTGGGAAAAAATGATGGAACCAAACCTCAAAATCACGGGGAAAAGAAAGACCAAGCCCACTGGTCTGACAGACTCCAGAAACCCCAAATCTACAGCCTTATCGCCCTTTAAGATGCAATTGAAACTACCGCCAGGACTCAATTATCAGTCAAGCAGCAGACAGGCCTATAAGGTGATGAATAACACCAGGGAGGAGGGACACACTTCTCAGAAGAATCCACCATAAAAGAGCCAAAGGGCAGATCAATCTATGATAATAAAGCTCAGTGGACAGCAAGGGCGGAGGGATGGAACGGGGAACCCAAGGAGGAAATGGGGAGACTGTTGTCATCGCTTGAAGATTTCAATCAAACATTTAGAAACAAAATGTGTATGAATGGAAAACTAATTTGCTCTATAAACATTCACTCAAAATACAGTTTAGTTCAAAAAAAATATAGGTGCGCCACTAGAGGTCCAGGTGGGAAGTCAGGGAGCCTTGGAGGCTACTCAGAGACAAGCTGACTCTAAACTTCAGGAAAGCTGGCTCCATGCATAGACGGGTGTGTGTGTGTGTGTGAGAGAGAGAGAGAGAGAGAGGAGGGGGATGGGCATAGAAAACTGTGTGTGTGGGATGGCACAGGACTGAGGCCAGCAGAGGATGCACCTCCAAATTAACCGTAGGAGTGGGACCACAGGGCGAGATGTCTGGGGAACAGATGCACCACAACCACCCCACTCCACAACGTCCTGGCCAGGATAGGAGACCCTTGGCCCCTGTGCTTGGGGCTGCTGTCAAAGCCAGCTCCATCGGGGTCTCCAAGGTCAGGCGATCTTGCTGAAGTCCACTTCACTAGCACACACTGCAGTGCCATTCATTTGGGTGGAAGGGACGTGTGTCCTCCTACCATGCTTCCTGCCCGTCCTCAGCACCTCCAGTGCCTCGTTCCCTGGATGCTGGAGACAGCTTAACAGATGGATGATGGCCTGTGTGGTCCTGCGCTTTCCATCTTGCATACCTACTGGCATCAATTCTTCTTCAGTCTTTCTTATTTGTTGTCCATCTTTCAGATGCATGGGATGCAGCTGAAAATACCATGGCTCGATCAGGCACGCCTTAGTCTCTACACTGATGTCCTTGCTCTTGAGCACTTTCACAAGGTGCTTGACAGCAGATTTCCCCAATACAACAGGTCTTTGACTTCTATGTTGCCATCAAGAGGCTTCCAACTCACTGTTGACCCTCCTCCAGGTTTCCAAGGCTGTGAATCTTTACTGGGAGAGGCTGCATGGCTTTCTTCCTCAGAGCAGCTGGGGGATTCAAACAGCTGACTTCCGGTTCGCAGCCCTCCATAAAACACACTGTGCCTCCAGAGCTCTCATCCAAGTGCAGTGCGTCCTGATCCTAATCCCTTCAATGAATAGTGTCTCAAGAAAAGAAAAAACAGACACATGGGGTTGGAGACCACACAGGGAGCCGCCCACAAACCAAGGGACACTGAGAATCTCAAAGGACAAGAAGAGACCATCTCCCAGAGCCCACGCCCCAACTTGGACTTCTAGCCTCCAAAACAGAGACAGTAAACTCCTGTTTCTGAAAGACCCCCTTGTGGTCTTCATGTTACAGCACAAGGAGGCTGAGATGAGCTGTGACTGCCACTCTGGCTCCTGCACTGTCCTGTTGTCTCTGGCCCAAGGGATCAACTCCAAAGGCATTGGGCAGGTGAGAGGGGCAGGGATCTTCACAAAGACTCCCAGGTACAAACCACATCTGTAAGAAGACTGAGGGCCTCCCAGACCCCAGCTCCCTGGAAGCCAGGTGGAGGGAGGGGTAGAGTGCACCTTCTCACCCACCGCCATCTGTCCCTGCCTGCATCCTGACCCCCACCCAGGTCGACATGGTCAGAGGAGAGGAGTGTAATGGTGGGGGTGGAGGTTGCTGTCCCTGCTGGCGCCGAGGGCCCCTCTCCCCTCCTGGCCCAGGTAACCTGAGCCCAGCATTGTGCCCATCCTGACAGCTGACAATGTTGTGGTCAGACAGCTGGTGAGGCCGGTGGGAGTGGGGGCCGTGTCACGTGAGAGCTGGAGCCGGCCTCAATCTGTTCAGAGCTGGGGAGCCACCACCCCGCTCGCTGCTGCGGGAGCTGAGACACCATGTGTGGGGACCCAGGGCTGCTGCTGCTCCTGTCACTGCTGGCAGGGGGCCTGGGTATGGACACAGGACCAGGGGCTGGGGAGCTGAGCTGGTGTCTGGGGGACTCGTGGGTATTGAAGTGCCCTCCACTGCTCATGCCATCTGTCCGTCCCAGGCGCCCAGGGCCGCAACCAGGAGGAGCGCCTGCTTGCCGACCTCATGCGTGACTATGACCCGAACCTGCGGCCGGCTGAACACGAGGAGGACGTGGTCAACGTGAGCCTGAAGCTCACCCTGACCAACCTCATCTCCCTGGTGAGCGGGCCTGGGGGTGGGACCCAGGGACCCCGGCAGTGGCCTCCTGGCCTCCTGGCGGCCTGTGGAGGCTGATGCAGGAGGAGGGTCAGGGCTGGTGGCTCAGCCCTCGGTTATGCACCCCCAGAACGAACGTGAGGAGGCCCTGACCACCAACGTCTGGATAGAGATGGTAAGAGGCCCCCAGCTCACCACAATCATGGCCCCACCAGGGCTGGACTCCCATTCCGCTCTGGGGGTGCCGGGCCGCCCACAGCAGAGACCTGGCATCCCCCCCCACAGCAATGGTGTGATTACCGCCTGCGCTGGGACCCCCAGGACTACGAGGGCCTGTGGGTGCTGCGGGTGCCCTCCCCCATGGTGTGGCGGCCGGATGTCGTGCTAGAAAACAAGTGAGAAGGGCCCATGTGGGGCTGGGAAAGTTCCAGGTGACACGTGTGACCTCTGACCCCAGGGACAGCAGGCCTGGTTCTGGAGTGGCCCATCCCCTCTGGGCTGGACCAGCTGGGGGCAACTTCTGTTCCCTGTGACTTTGGCTTCCATCCCCTGGTGACCCCATGGGGCCTACAGAAGGGCAGGGCATGGGGCCTGTGTGGGGCCGGCCACCCCTGGGGGACTGGAGCTGTTGTCACCACTCTGGTCATCACCACAGAGGTCAGAGGCCGGGCCTGCGGTGGGTGGGGTGGCAGGGAGATTCAGGGATCGGTGGTTCCCACGGCCAGGTTAGGCAGGCTGGGAGGGGGTGGTGCCCCTGGTCCCCCATCCACGCTGGTGGAGGGCTGGTCAGGAGCACAGGGTCCAGAGCTGGAGGAGGTCTGTGCCCACAGTGTGGACGGCGTGTTCGAGGTGGCCCTCTACTGCAATGTGCTCGTGTCCCCCGACGGCTGCATCTACTGGCTGCCACCTGCCATCTTCCGCTCCGCCTGCCCCATCTCCGTCACCTTCTTCCCCTTCGACTGGCAGAACTGCTCCCTCATCTTCCAGTGAGGATGCTTACGGGGCTGGGACAGGGCCATGGAGGCTCCCTGGGTGGCACTGATGGTTAAGCACTCAACGTCTAACCTGAAGGTTCAGTGTTCAAACCCACCAAGAGGCATCTGGGGGAAAAGGCCAGGAAAACACGCCATTTCCCAGTTCTGTTCTGACCACCCACATGGGGCAGCCACAAGTCAGGAGTGACTAGTACAGCCTGTTTGGCTTTTGGGGGTGGTGGTGGTAAAGGAGGTCAGCATGGGGGTGTCCTTGAGCTGGAGGGACTTAGGGAGCTCTAAGAGGGACCGTGAGGCAGCTGACGTGGGGTCCTGGCCTTTGGGGGCAGGTGAGGCTTCTGGCCTCGGCTGGATGACCTGGAGGCCAGAGGCCAGGCCCCACCTGTCCAGGGCACCTCTGTGCGATCTCCAGCAGACTCCTCTGAAGATGTTCCTGTCCCCTCAGTCACCTCTATTAGCTGCCTCAGTTTCCCCGTCTCTGCCCACAGGGATGAACAGGCATCAGTGTGCACGTGAAATACATGATGTGTACGGGGTAGATGTGCACACACATGTGTGTTAACACACATGACACATTCACAGGGAAGGGGTGTCCTGACATGGATGAGGAGTATGGCCCTGAAGCCCCCTTATGGGACTCAAGCCAGCCAAGAGGGGGTGGTCTGTGGGTCTCAGCTACCCCTCCCATAGCATGGGAGGGAGCTCCAGCAGACCTGGTGGTGTAAATGGGTCATGACTCTACAACTAGCTGAAAGGTCAGTAGTTCAAACTCACCCAGAGGCATGCAGAAGAAAAGTCTGGCAATCTGCCCCTGAAGAAGCTCCCTTCCAGCACACAAGGCTGCCAGCAATCAGAACTCAAGGGCAGTTAACCCCGATTTTGATAAAGGAAACCTTCTGGAAGGGCCCTCAATAAACAGGCCTCCAGCTGCCCTTGAGGCAGGAATTTCTTTTCTCTGTCTGACCAGAGGCAGCAGGAGGGATGATGGTGGCTGGGTGAGCACGGGGTAGGTCTGGGCTCTTAGACACCAGGCAGCAGGCACCCAACTCACTTCCTCCCAGATCCCGCCCCTTCCACATTGCCTGGAAGTTCCGTGGCAAACCTGGAAACACGGGCTATGAATTTGGAGGCACAACTGCTCACAGCTCCCCTTCTGGTGAAGCCCCTGTGAGCTCATGGGGCGGGGAGTGTTTCCACACTCGCCCATATAGCCTGTTTCCACCACCTCTCAGGTCCCAGACTTACAGCACCAATGAGATCAATTTACAGCTGAGCCAGGAGGATGGTCAGACCAGCGAGTGGATTTTCATTGACCCTGAAGCCTTCACAGGTATCCTGCACCCCAGGTCCTAGAGCAGCCTCTCCTGGGGTCCTCTTGGCTGGCCACAGGGCCAGCACCAAACCACAGCTTGGCACACTTACTGTTAAGCCCCTTCTCCTGAAATTAAAATGAAAACCTATAAACCCTGGTGGCATAGACGGCTCAGTGCTCCCGGCCCAGGGTACATAGGAGGAAAGGTCTGGCAAGCTGCTCCCCTGGGAACAGTTCTACTCTGCACACAGGAGGCTGCCGCCTTGAGCTGGACGTACACTCCAACCATAAACCGCACACCATGAGATACATTCCCCCCCCTTTTTAAAAAAACTGGTTTACATACAATCATTCATATGAGGTACTTTTTAAAAAGATCCCAGCCAAGTTCTCATCGTCCCCACAAATGTTACTTCAGTGTTGGATCAAAAGTCCAGTTTCCTGCCCTGTTGCCTGTGCCCTCCGTGCTGTCCACAGAGAACGGGGAGTGGGCCATCCGGCACCGGCCGGCCAAGATGCTACTGGACCCAGCGGTCCCAGTGGAGGAGGCGGGCCACCAGAAGGTGGGGTTCTACCTGCTTATCCAGCGCAAACCCCTCTTCTACGTCATCAACATCATCGCCCCCTGTGTACTCATCTCCTCGGTCGCCATCCTCATCTACTTCCTGCCTGCCAAGGGTACCTGGGGCTGGGGCCCAGGAACAAGCCCGCAGCTGGAGGAGTCCTGGGGAACGGGCTCTCTGTGGGTGGTCAAGGCAGGGTCCGGGTGAGGAGGGGTCCTGGGGAGCGGGCTTTCTGTGTTCGGTGAGGAGGTGTCCTGGGAAGCAGGCTTTCTGTGAGCCAGTGAGGTGGGGTCCTGGGGAGTGGCCTTTCTGTGCTGGAGAGGCACCCCCACTGTGGGGAGGTTCCCTCTTGTTCTGAGTGGCCTTTCCACTGTGGGCAGCGGGCGGTCAGAAGTGCACTGTCGCCATCAACGTGCTTCTGGCCCAGACCGTCTTCCTCTTCCTGGTGGCCAAGAAGGTGCCGGAGACGTCGCAGGCGGTCCCGCTCATCAGCAAGTATGACTCTTCACACCTGCCCACTGGGAACCTGCCTCCACTCTCCCATCCTTGGGAATCCTGGCTCTGCCCTCCTGCCATCTCCTCTCCCCAGGGGACCTGTCGGGATGGCATCTGGAGGGGGTGGCTAAGAGTCAGCCTGGCCTCACTCAGGTACTTGACCTTCCTCCTGGTGGTGACCATTCTCATCGTCGTCAACGCCGTGGTCGTGCTCAACGTGTCCCTGAGGTCTCCACACACACACTCCATGGCCCGCGGCGTCCGCAAGGCAAGATCCCTCCCTTTCCTGCTGTGTCCTCTCACCCCGTCCACGTGCCAGTACCTGCGCATGTCCCCCTTCTGTCCTGATGCACCTGAAGCGTTCGCCAAACAGGTGACACGGCCAGACCCTGCTAACGGTGTCACACGTCCACTCACTCAGGCTCCCGGAAAAGGCCGTAACAGGGCACTGCCATCAACCAGTGCTTGGCTTGTTTTTAATCTCCTGGGGCCATTTTACTGACGGGCCAACTGAGGTTTAAAACAAAATTTAAAAAAAAAATTTTTAAACACTTAGGAAGGTTTGGATCCAAGTCTTTGGGCTCCGTAGATGACTTGCTTGAGCGGTGCACACAGAACTAAGTGCTTACCAGTGGGTGATTGATTGGTGGAGGTTATCTGGGAATGAAAGCACCTGGTGGTACAGTGAACTATGCGTTGACAGATGATGCAGAAGCAGAACTTCCACAGAGATGACGCCCTTGAAAATCCTGTGGGATTGTTTTACTCTGTCTCACAGTAACAGCAGGCAGCACAGGGCTCCGATTTGTGGTTCACAGGGTCATCAGGAGTTGTAGTCCATTTAATGGCACCTAACTACAATAGTCCATGGTCTGCCAAGAGAACAAACAGGTCTGTCCTGAAGAAGGCAAAACCAGGCTGCTCCCTGGAGGCAAGGATTTTGAACCTCCATCTGACATACTTTGGGCATGTTGCCAGGAGGAACCAGTCCTTGGAGAAGGACATCACGTTTGGAAGGGTGGAGGGACAGCGCAAGAGAAGACGACTCTGGATGAGACGGATGGACTCAGTAACTGTGGTAATGTATCGGAGACAATGAAATTGGCTCAAGATAGAGCAGGGTTCAAAGCTGCTGTATATAGGGTCACTATGAGCTGCAAGCGACTCAACAGCACATAACAACAACAACATCGGCCTAGCGTTAAAAAGCTGCACTGCTATTCTGAAGGCGTGAAGTTCAAATCTGCCTGCAGCTCTGTGGGGGAAGGATAGTAATCTCCTCTTGTGTGATTACTGCCTCTGAAAATCTGCTTGAGGGTCAGCTATGCATTGGTTCCGACTCAAAGGGAAACAACAACAACAAACAACAACCACAACATCACAGGGCACCATGAGTTAGAATGGAAAGTGGACTTTTTCTTTTTTAACTTGTGTTGATAGTCCAGCACCTTCTGGAGTAAGATTTTTGGCCTTTCTCTAAAGTGAGGGCATATATACACCCTTCCCATTTTACAGATGTGAAAACTGAGGCAAGAAAAGGTAAATGACCAGCCACGTGGCTAGAGAGCAAAGGGAGCAGCCTTGTTAGAATGGCAAACCCACCACCTTCCCAGGCCCACTCTGCCTGCCTGGGCCCAAACAGGCTGTACGCGGAAAAGGGTCTTTACAAGGTGCACCCTAGTACCTGCTGCCATCAGCATAAACTCCAGTGCAGGTCCTCCTGTACCCGGCTACCGTCGCTGCCCTGCTGCCCGTGTCTGTTGCCGGGGTTCCACGCCAGCCCAGCGCCTGCCCAGCCTCACCAGCCACCCCACGCCCTTCCTTCCGCAGGTGTTCCTACGCCTCCTGCCCCAGCTGCTGCGCATGCACGTGCGCCCTCCGGCCCCGGGGGCAGCGCGGGAGCCTCGCCCCCGCCCCCGCCTGCAGAACGGCTGCTCGGGGTGGCCGGTCCGCGCCCGGGAGCAGGCGGCCCTGGGCCTGCCCCACAGCGAGCTGCTGTTCCAGCAGAGCCGGCGCAACGGGCTGGTGCGGGCGGCGCTGGAGAAGCTGGGTGAGCGCGAGTGGGAGCGCGCCAGGGCCCGGCCGGCCAGGGCAGCGCGCAGGCAGAGGGGTGCAGGGCCAGTGTGGGGTGTACACGGAGGGCGGGGGCCTGGGAGAGAGACCACCTTCCCTCCCTTCACTCTGTACCCAAGCCTGAGTCTCTCTGCTTCCTCAGAGAAAGGCCCGGAGCCAGGCCCGAGCCAGGAGCTCTGCAGCAGCCTGAGGCAGGCGGCACCAGCCATCCAGAGGTGCGTGGAGGCCTGCAACCTCATCGCCAGGGCCCGCCACCAGCAGAGTCATTTCAACAGTGTAAGCCAGGTGGGGCAGGGAGGGGGTCAGCAGGAGGAGCACCTGCAGACCCAGGGCAGGGGCAGGGAAGATGAGTGTGGACCCCCAAGAGGGCCAGTGAAACACCCCACTGCTGTCAGTTCAGACTCACAGCGACCTGTAGGACAGAACTGTCGCATGTGGTGTCCAGGGCCTGTCTCTGTGGAAGCCGACTGACACACCTTTCTCTGTCGGTTTTAGTACCAACCTTTTGGCTGGCAGCCAGTGCTTTAATTACAGTGCCACCAGGACTCCGAGGGGTGGGGCAGTTGGTGGAAAACTGGAGTAGGGGTAGGCTCTCCAGGCCCGGGGTCACAGAGAAAGAAGTTTTGAAGCGATGGAGGTTTGCCATCATCTGGGACCCTGCCTCCTGCCCCCAGGGGAACGAGGAGTGGTTCCTGGTGGGCCGTGTGCTGGACCGGGTCTGCTTCCTGGCCATGCTCTCCCTCTTCGTCTGCGGCACCGCTGGCATCTTCCTCATGGCCCACTACAACCGTGTGCCCGCCCTGCCCTTCCCTGGAGACCCCCGGCCCTACCTGCCGTCACCTGACTGAGCCCACTGGCCACTGCTGCACAGGGAGGGAAACCTCACCTGAACCAAGGTGGCTGCACCGAGACTGAGATGCTGTGTCTTGCTCTGTGGACAGCTTCAGAAGTGTGATCTCCAGAAAGCGCTCTTCTGGGTCCAAATAAAGAGACAGTGCTGGAGTCTAGAGTGGTGGGTGATTGGCTGCAGGCAGGGGTGCTTCTAGGGGTCAGCATCCACGTCGCATTGGCTCACTGGCCCTAGCCTCCTGTCCACTGCCTCTGCGCCTCAGGAGAGCATTACCAGCTCCCACACGTCTCTGCTCATTACTTCCCTCCTTCCTTGTTCTGTACCATTGAGTCAGATCCGACTGTCACAGGAGGAGAATGCCCCTCCGTCTCCAGCGGAGCATCTGAGCATCTGGTGGATTTGAACTGTGACCCTTCAGGACTGCTGCACAGCTTCTTACCATTAGGCCACTAGCGCTCCCTCCCCACACATTTCTGAAGCCCTGATGTCATCTCTGGGTGCCAGCCAGTTAGCTGTGACTCATAGCAACTGTCTCTGTACAATAACCAACGTCGTCTGGTCAGGCACGGTCCCCACAATCCTTGCTGTGTTTGAGCTACTGTGTCAACTCACCTTGTTGAGAATTTTCCTCTTTTTTTACTGACCTCCCACTTTACGAAGCACGATGTCCTTCCCTAGTGAATAGTCCCTCCTGATAACATGTCCAAAGTGCGTGAGATGAAGTCTTCCCCTTCTTACTTCTAGGGAATATTCTGGTTGCACTTCCTCCAAGACAGACTTGTTCTTTCTTCTGACCTTCGATAGTGTAGTCAATATTCTTCACCACCACAACGCAGGGGCATGGATTCTTTGGTCTTCTCTATTCCTTGCCCAACTTTCACATGCATATGAAGTGACTGGAAAGGCCAAAGGTTGGGTCAGGTATACATTAGTCCTCAAAGGGACATCTTTGCTATTTAAAGGGCTGTGTTTTACACAATGCCCCCTCTTACCCTCCTGAACTGGGCCTGGCAGCTATTTCACACAGTCCCTGCAGGTTCCTAGTGGAGGGATGTCAGGAGCGATGCTGGGAGCAGCAGTGGTCCATGCCAGCGGGCATCACCTCCGGGCAGTCTGGGTACTGAGATTGCCCTCCTCCTCATCTGCACATGTAACTTACCCACTTTTTACCACTGATCACAAAAAGATTTTGGAGTCTTATTATCTTTGTTTTTCCACAGTTAATAGTGTTCCTCAAACATCATGAATAGTTAAGAGTCCCTGTCCCTCTCATTTCAACTGTGTGGATGAAGTGCAGAACAAGAGGGCTTCCCAGAACACCAGGAGCTCAGAATTGGCCAGTTCTCTGCCTCAATACTGCACACTCCGAGAATGCTTCTACAGCATGCAAAGTGGACCCTCTCCCTCAAAGGCAAGCACTCAAATAATGGCTAATTTGGAGTGCAACAAGACAGACAGGGAGGCATGGGGTTAACAGGGAGCTGCACTGGCTCGAGGCTGGCCCCTGACCTGCCTCCCTTGGCCTCATCAGAAGCCCAGCAAAGGTCTCCAGGGGTTTTCAGGTGCTGCTCTGAGTACAGCTGGGTTTGTCATCTCTGCTCCTGAGCCTGTCCCCTCACGAGTAGTATGTGCACAGATGCCAGTTCCCGGCTTCCCTCATTACAACCACAGGATCAAAGGTGTGGTGATCAGAAGACGTGCAGGTGCCACTTGAAAGCACAACAATGAGACATAGACTCGGAGGAGAGCTCTCGCACAGAGCTGCTGGCTTTGGGCTCTATCACCAGCAGGGTGTACTTCAGTTAGGGCGCTCTGGTAGCGTAACCCAGAGGGACTTGTGCTGCGAGGCCAAAGGCTGCATCGCTCTGTTTGAATCCAGCAGCAGTTTTGCAAGAGAAAGATGGGCAGTCCCCTTCCATAGTGAAACCCATCAGAGGGCCAGCTACGAGTTAGCAATAAAGTGCTCAAAGCAATCCCTGAAAGGCAAAGGGGCACAAAATGTGCTGTTTGCATAGTATTCACATTGCATTAGTATTATAAACCGTCTAGAGATGGTTTAAAGTGTACCGGAGAGTGTACAGCAGGTTAATGCAAATACTATGAAACCTTGAGCATCCTGGATTTTGCTATTTAAGAGAGTCTGAGAAAGAATGTCCCAGTGATACTGAGGGACAGTATCTTCCTAACAAAGAATACAATGTCATTATTATTGTTATGTGCTGTTGAGTCAAAACCAATTCATAAGCTGACCCCCCTAGAAGGTTTTCCAGAGGCTGTAAATCACACAGGAGGAGACGGTCCATATTTCCCCCATGGAGCAACTGGTGGATACGAACCAAGTGCTTTTGGGGTGGTAGTTCAATCCCTTACTACTAGGTCACCAGAGTTCCCTTAAGAATAGCAATAGCTACCATTAATCAAGGAGGTCAAGGATTGTAGTCTTCAATATGGACTGAAGCTCAACACATCAAGAAGACAAAGATTCTCACCACTGGGCCAATTGGCAGCACATGATAGATGGAGAAGAGATTGAGATTGTTAACAATTACAGCTTGCTTGGATCCACAATCAACACATTTAACACCAGCAGTCAGAAAATTAAAAGATTAATTGCATTGGGAAAATCTGCTGTCAGGGACCTCTCCAGAGCGCTGAAAAGCAATGGTGTCAGCCTAGAGACTAAAGTGTGCCTATTCCAGGCCATGGTCTTGTAATTATTTGTTATGCTTCAGAGATACGGACAATGATCAAAGATGACAGAAGAAGAATTGATGCCTTCGAGTTGTGGTGCCGGAGAAGAGTCCTGAAGGGTGAAATCAAGTTTCTCTTTGGAGACTAGGATTTTGAAGTTCCGTCTCACAGACTTTAGGCACGTGGCCAGGAGAGACCAGTCCTTGGAGAAGGACATCATGCTTGGAAGGGTGGAGGGGCGGCATGGGAGAGGAAGACCCCCAATGAGATGGATTGATACAATAACTGGAGCAATGGGGGGGGGTGTGTCAGAATTAGTAAGACTGGCTCAGGACAGGGAAAGGTTCAGAGCTGCTGTACATAGGGGCACTGGTGATTCGATGACACAAAACAACAACAAATTGTACGAGGTATTGTGGCCAGTGCTTAACACGGATAATTTTGTGGAATCCAGACAGCTACAAGTAGCTGTTATAACATCACATTCTCTGGACAGCTGGAGAGATATCATGTGTGTGCAAACTGCACAGGGGCTGGAGTTGGGATTTGCACAAAGTAGTGATACATTTCTCAAGCAGACAAAAGAACTGAAGAACTAATTCAAGCCTCAAGTTGTAATACTTAATAATTTCATGAGTAAAATATTGAGCAATGCAGGAAGCAGCAGCCAAAGATAAAAGAAATATATAGTCATTGTGTCAAAAAAAGGATTGATCAATGTTGAACCATTTCAATAAGAAGCATACAATTAAGAACCAATGCTCATGAAAGAAGTTCAAGCTGCACTGAAGGCACTGGCAAAAAATAAGTTTCCAGGAATTGATGGAATACCAGAGGGGTTTTCTGCAGACAAATGCAGCCCTGGATGTGCTCCTAGTCTATGAAAGACATTTGGAAGACAGCTACCTGGCCAATGTACTGGAAGAGATCCATTATTTGTTCCCATTCCACAAAAAAGGTGATCCAAAAGACCATGGAAAATGTCAAACAATATCATGAATGTCCTGTGCAAGTAAAATCTTGCTGAAGATTATTTTTTAAATGGCTGGAGCAGTACAGTGGCAGAGAACTGGCAGAAATTCAGTCTGGACTCAGAAGAAGTATATCTGAGAGATATACTTGCTGCTGTCAACAGGACCTTGGCTGATAGCAGAGAAAATCATAAAGATGTTTATTTATGTTTTATTGACTATGCAAAGGCATTTGACTTTGTGGATCACAGCAAACTATGGATAACATTGAGAAGACCAAATTGTGCACATGTTAAAGCTATATATAGTTGTCCAAACTGAGCAAAGGAACACTGCATAGTTTAATATTTTTTTTAAAAAAGGTTTGCATCAGGGTTGTGTCCTTTTTCCATACCTATTCAACCTGAATGCTGAGAAAATAATTCGAAAAGTTGAACTGTATGAAGAATATGGCATCAAAATTGAAGAAAAGCTTATCAACAACCTGTGTTGTGCAGATGACACAACTTCACCTGCAGAAAGTGAAAAAAGACTTGAAGAACTTACTGAAGAAGTTCAAAGACTACAGCCTTCATTAGGAATGGCATTTCACTGTGAAGAACACAAAATTCCTCACCATTGGGCCAATAGGCAACATCATGATAGTGAAAAGACTGAAGTTGCCAAGGATTTCATATTACTTGGATCTACTATCAAAATCCTTGGTAACAACAGTGTAGAAACCCTAAGAAGTGTTGCTGTCAAGGACCTCTCCAAGGTACTAAGGAGCAGTGCTTCAGTTTACAGACTGTACCCAAGGTATTTCCAGTTGCTGACTGTACATGTGAAATTTGGACCATGACTAAGGATGACAAGAAGAACTGATGTCTTTGTATTGTGGTGTTGATGATGAGTACAGAGTTATCTTAAAAACGAAAAAAAAAAAAAAAAAACCCCAACAACCAACCAAAACCCCAAAACCTAGTTCTTGGATGAAATACACTCAGGAGGCTCCTTCGATGCAAGGCTGATAAAACTTCACTTCACTTACTTTGGGCATGTTGTCAGGTGTCAATCCTTGGAAAAAGACACTATACTGGGAAAGGTGGAGGCACGGAGAGAGGAAGATCCTCAAAAAGGTGGACTGATAAGGTGACTGTAGCAACGCGGGCTCAAGTTTGTCGGAGATGATGCGTGAGATTGTCAAAGGACAGGACAAGGTTCAGATCTCGTTCGCTATGAGTCTTTATGGCACGTAACAGCAATGATGCCAAAGGCGGCTGGTGATTGATTCCAAAGCCCTAGTGTCCTCGCGGGAGAAAGAGCTGGGGAAATGCAGCCAAAAAGACTCCAACCCAGGAACCCAAGCGCCGCTCTCCTATGTCACCCGATCACTAAACGTTGGAATACAACATATTGGATGCAGGGCTCGCGCTCTCCAGTGCCCCTTTCTCCGAGGGTGCTGCAGGCAGGCGTGCCTTCCTTCGGGTGAGGTCCCGGACAAGCGGGCCCCAAGCACCGCGATCAGCGGGCGGGGACCCGCTGCGCAGCCCGCAGCCCCGCCCCGCACCGCCGCGCAGCCGCCCTCCGCGGGCGTCCCGGGATTCCCGCCCCCCGCAGGGCCTGCGCACCGACGTTCCGCTGCCGCCAGCGCAACCGGAAGTGGCCGGCCCCAAGGCGGAGGGACCGGGCCGAGCGGAAGTCACCCCGTGAGGCAGCGGCGACGGCGGCGGCGAGAGGATGAACAACAAGTTCGACGCGTGAGTGGCGCGTGGCCGCCCCGGGCCCCTTCCCCCAACCGCACCCCCGTGCGGCCCGGCGCCCGCTCTGCGTCTCGGCCCTCCCTCCGGCCTCGGCTGACCGGGACCGGGTGGCCGGCGGGGTGGGGGGGTGGGGGTGCGAGGTGCTGGGGGTTCCGGGCACCTCAGCACCGCTCGGCCAGCGGGGGTCCCGGGAAGGGTGGCCGGGCCTTGGGGAGGGACCCCGGGGGGACGCCCCGCCCCGGGGGGGGGTGCGTGTGGCCGGCGGCGTGGAGGGTGGAGACCGCGGCGGTTTGGGTGTTCCCGCAGCCTGGCCTCCTCTGCATCCAGCTTGCCGCGCACACCGGCTGGCCTGGGGCTGGTCACCTGTCCACTCTGGGCCTCCGTTTCCCCATGTCCGGCGTGGGGTCGGTGACAGCCCGTCGGGGAGGGTTTTGCAGATGCAGTGGGGGGTCCAGTGGCTCCGCAGGCCGACACCTGGCAGCATCTTCCCGAGCCTGCTTCCTGCTTCCTCTCTGCCGCCCCTCCTCCTCCTCCTCCCAGCACCCTCGCCCAGAGCTGGCCAGGTCCTCGCTCGCGCCCCTGCAGGGACCCCAGATCCTCCTTTAGTGACCTGCAGGGACTGCAGAGCGAGCCTTAGGATAAGGAGTCGCGCGCTGCCAACCCAAATGCCCGGGGTTCGAATCCACCAGCTGCTCCGCGGGATGGGCAGTTTCCTCCTGTGCGACTCTCGCTGACCCCCACCCCCCGCAGGGTCAGTGGAGAGTCCGATCCAGCCCCGTGGTGCGCACCAGCACAAGGGATGCACGCGCGGTTTTGCATCTTAACTCTGCCCACTGTCTCTTTAGTGGGTTATGCTCTTCGCTGCTCCGTCAGTCGTTTTGAAAGTCCACATCTGAAGACCTAGGTAGCCAGTCCCAGACCTGCCAGCATTTTGCCACCAGGAAAGTTAACCCAGTTTTTAGCCATTTCTGCCCCACGTCAGTGAGGAGTTGAGATGTAAGGATGACAGGACATTGAGCCCGGTTTAAAGATACTTTGTGAATTGGTAAATGTTTCAGAGTCTGACACTGACCCACAGAGATAAGTGTGTTCTCTGTGTGTGTGTGTGTGTCTCTTTGTGTCTTTACCTTGGACAACAAATTGAAATCGTGCCCAATCCAGTGGCATCCTCACAGTTGGCTACGCTTAAGGCCATTGCTGCGGTCGTTATCAGTTCATCTCATTGAAGGTCTTCCTCTCTTTCACTGACCCTTAACCTTCCCAGATATGTCCTTTGCTGAGACTGGCCCCTCCTAGCAGCATACCTAAGATGTGTGAGCCATTCTCAGTCTTTGCTTCTAAAAAACACTCTGACTACACTTTTTCCAAGACGTACTTGTTTGTCATTTGGCAGTCCTGTATACTTTGTCCGTTCCACAGTTCATGTATGTATATGACAGGACAGCATCTAGTAGTTGTCTTCATCTCGTGTGTGTGTGTGTGTGTGTGTGTGTGTGTGTGTGTGTGTGTGTGTGTGAGCCCAGGCCAGCAGGTTTAGATTAAAATTGCTAAACAGATGATAAATGTCAAATAGACTTACTCCTGTTTAGGTTGTGACCTGCTCTGCACAGTTGGGTTTTTTCCAGTGCAGTGAGTGCTGGAGTTTAGATGCAGAGCTCCTGAACACCCACCATTCTGGACAGCTCCTCACCGGTGTTTCCTCACTGGAGAGTTCCTCCACTGCTTGAGAAAATATGACAGGACACTTCCAGCCTGAGGCTGGCTTAGCCGAGCCCTGCACCCCCATTCGTGATCATTAGCCCAGCAACACCTTGCTCTACGTCTAAGCCCAATGAAGCTTTGCCTCCACTGAATTCAGAATACCTCAAAATCGTCTTAAGAGAGCAGTTTTATGCATCATCTGATGCAGACGAAAACTATGCCCATCATTGTCAAGAAATCTCTATAAGAGGAGACTGCCCACCTTTCTCTCATGCAGCAGCTGATGGATTTGAACTGCTGACCTCTTGGTTAGCAATTTGATATGTTATGCTACACTTGATACATATGCCATCAAGACTCCTTAAGGAAAGGAGGCTGGAACTGTCAGGAACACAAGTACATTTTTTTTTGTTGTTGTTATGTCCTATCAAGTCACTTGTAACTCACAGCGACCCTCTGTCCAACAGCTCTGAACCCTGCTCTGTCTTGAACAACCTCATTGTGTCTGACGCACTTACCCCCATTACACCAGTTACTGGGTCAATCCAGCTCATCCAGGGTCTTCCTCTCTTGTGCTGTCCCTCCATCCTTCCAAGCATGATGCTCTCCAAGGACTGGTCCTACCTTGTAAAATGACTAAAGTATGTCAGATAGAGCTTCAGAATCCTTGCCTCCAGGGAGCAGTCTGGTTTTACCCTCTCCAGGACAAACCTGTTTGTTCTCCTAGCCGTCCATATTCAGTATTGTTCTCCAGCACCACAAATCCAAGACATAAATCCCGTCATCCTTAGTCATTGTCCAGCTTGTATTTGCAAGTAATTGCAAATACCATGGCCTGGACCAGGTGCACCTTAGTCTGTGGACTGACATCATTGCTCTTTAGTACTCTGGAGAGCTTACTGATACCAGATTTTTCCAATGTAATTCATCTTTTGATTTCTGTGGAAATCAGTTGTCAGTAGATTCCAACTTGCAGTGATCATGTAGGATGGAGTAGATTGCCTCATGTGATTTCATCTATTCCTGTTTTACCCACATTGTGGGATCTGCAATAAGCTAATTTAAAATGAGTAATACTGATGTTTTGCTAGATACTTTTCATATATTCTACTTGTAACAGCCTTGCAGAGGGGATGTACTTTCCTCCTTTTACAGGTGAGGAGAGGAGGGTCTCTGAGATTGAATAACTTGTCCAAGACAGCAGGAAGGGGCTATATGCTGGGAATCAAATTTAGATTTGTTGTTTAATCTTGTATATGTACTCTGTTGACAAAAGAATGTACCTTGTAATTTTTAATTTGTTCTAATTATTAACTCTTCTTACACTGAGTCAGAGGGAGCTCTCATGGCCTAGTGGCAAGAGGCTGCATTGCAACCCTAAAGGCATGCACTTCAAATTCACCAGCTGCTCCAAAGGAGAAGGATGATGGAATCTCCTGTGCAATTTATTGCCTCTGAAAACCTGCTGGAGGGTCAGGTGTGAGTTGATTCTGACTAAAAGGCACACACCAACATACTGAATTGGGATTTTTTAAACATATTTTTTAGCTTTTTTCATTTGGAATTAGCACCGAAAGCAGAACCCTGGTCCCTACTTTGATTTTCATTTTTTTCTGCAAGAATTCTGAAGCTTAGACATTCTTGTGCCTTGTACAGGCTGTCCTCATCACTACATGACGCCTCAGAGCATGTTCCTCTTGCTTGGAGCCGAGTGCACTGGTATAATCTGATGAGCTCCAGTTACTGTTGGACCTTCTTCTGTTGTGAATATGACCAAAGGTTGTAGTTACTGGGCATCCTATTTTGCTTCCGTGGCCATTGATCTTGTTAACATGTAATATCCTCTCCTGCTTTCACAAGGACTGTTTTGCCTAGTCTAGTTGTCCCAACTGCCATATATTTTGTTCCTGTGTTAATTTGGGGCTCATTTTTAACTGCTGTCTAAACCACTTACTTGGCACTTACCTGTAGCACCCTGAATTGCTTTAATTTTTTAAATCGATACTGTTTGTCTGATGCTAGTAGATGGCCTGATGTCCTCAATACTGAGGCAGCAGCAGGTGAGCTCACCGGTGCCACATAGTCTGGAAAGCCTCAGAGATACTAATTGCCTGCTTGGTCTAGGAAGCATTGAGTTGGCTCAAATCCAGCAGCAGACCAGGAAGAGTCGCCTGTGGAAGAGAAGAGGCAAACGGTTTACCATAGGAGTAGATGCAGAGGGCAGAGAGATTAGTTATTGCCACTCAGGAAGTAAAAGCAGGTGCTGCAGGTCTTGTAGGGTTTCTGTTTCCTCCAACATGGCCGGGGAAGTGTTTGGGAAACACTAGCATTGTTTCATCTCCCATGTCATTGCTTTTCCTCGTTCCTTTTCTCTAATGATTGCTAGCAAAGCCACCAAAAAGAAAGAAACTTAAATGGTTTGCTCAGAGGCCATCGATACAGGGAGATGCTGAGAAGGCTACATCTCTCTTTAACAAACACTAAAAGAGAGGGATCCCCACTGTATGCAGTAGGAGAGCTAAGGAGACAGGAAAATCGTTTGAATCCCTGTATTCGCCCTAAAGAAGGGAGCCAAGAATTGACATGGGCCTAAGCAGTATGAAAATCCATAGGACAGTCTAGCTGAGGGAACAGAACAACTGGCTGTGATAGAATAGATGGGACAATGGCAGATCCTTCCAGGGGGAAGTTGAGAAGGGCGCCCAGCTTGTGTGTCCACTCGGGTTTTGTGTGTGTATGTGTCTTCCCACACGTCCACTCGGGAAACAGTGAGTAGGTTCACATGGTTGGAGCGAAGAGTTTAGGAACAGGTAGGTGGTGACAGAGGGCCCCTGGCACCCTGGTGGCTAGCATGTTGGTAGTTAGAATCCACCACCTTCTCCACTGAAGACAGATGGACGACATCCTCCTGTTAAGATTTACAGTCTCTGAAACCCAATGGAGGGTCACTGTGAGTCAGAACTAACGGGGTGGGAGTGAGTTTGTTGAGCGGATGGGCTGCACATGAGTGTCCAGGCCTTTGTACCGTGCTGAGACTCTTGCGCATGTTCACCTCAGGTGAAGTCCTGTGGCCTGAGCTTCAGCTCTTGTCCCTAGACGCTGCTGTGCACAGTGGATGCTAGGTAGATGTTTGGTTTTAGTCCATGACACCTACTTACTTGCTAGCCATGCTTCTTTAGGAAAAGAAACAAGACCACCTCAAGTTTAACAGGTGGAATTTGGCAACAAAAAAAAAAAAAGTTTAACAGGTGGAGAGGGTGTGCTGTAAACACAGATAATGGTCTCTCAGAAGTCCAGGGAAAACTGAACTAAGCCAGACAACACCACATCTACTCCTCGACTCCATTCTCATTCATGTTCTCCTCTCTCTCTCTCTCTCTCTGTCTCTCTCTCTCTCTCTGTCTCTCTGTTTGTTCATTGGCTTTGTTCTCACATATCATTTGTGTTTGGAGTCTGTCTTGGTGGCCGTGCGTGCAACCTGTCTTCTAGGGGAAAAGCTGATGGAGGAATTTGCCCAGATTTTTTTGATTGCCTCTGGGGGATGGCCAGGCTGTCTGCCCTCTGATCAAGTGACCTTCCTAGGCCTGAGTCTATCCCGAGTCAAGAAGGGAGGGCCGTGGCACAGGGAGTGACCACCTCAGAGTGTTCTACAGCCAGGGCAGTGAACTAGGCATGACAGGCACATCCCAACATGGCTAGTTCGCCTACTCTGGTGTTTATTTGAGATCCTTTTACATGTTCTTCTAGGCACTGGGGACCAAAAGGAGGTGAGATGTGTGCGTATGAAATGTGTGTTCCTGTGCTTATGTAGGGTAATGTGATCTGAGTACAGTTTGAACATTTCTGGTAGCTTCCTGTGAAATTCCCAATTCTCTTACTACATACATGGAGGGAGCTAGTAGATAAGGAGAAATGGCACTGGTGACACAAAGTCAAGAAGTTTGAATCCATCAGCAGCTCTGCAGGAGAAAGATGAGTAATCTCTTGTGTGATTACAGCATCTGCAAACCTCCTCGAGGTTCACCTCGCTTTGACTTGTAATCTGCTCATTGACCGTGAGTTTTAACATAGAGTCATTAGGTCTCACGAGGAGACCCATGATGAACTCTTAACGTAAAACTGCCACCTTTTACCTTAAAGGTAAACTCTTGTTTACCTTTCTTCCTTAGATCCATTAAACTTCAGGTGTACCTAAATGCCTTTGAGTAGGGTCCTAAAAGGTCAGCATTTGCAATGCATTTGACTCTGACAGCAAGAAAATGTTTACCTTTTGGACATTTTTTCCCAAAAAATTTTTGGCTCAGCAAATATGGAACATCTTTTCTCAGTGCTAGAGACCCAGATGACTAAGACCCTGCTCTAAGTACCTTCTCCACCACCCAAAGTTTAGTGTGGATAAGTGTGGCAGAAGGGGCACCTCCTGTTGAAAGGGTAGTGTTCGCGGAGTTCAAGTGTGAGAACGTCACTGGGAACGCTTTGTGGAGGTGGGGGGGGAGGGAATGGCACTGAAGAGGCAGGCTAGGTTGGATTCCAGAAGGCTGCGTGTACTTTCTCCTGGAGGGTGACTGTCCAGAGCTAGGCACCCTAGGAGGTTTTAATCCAGGAAGCCACAGGATCAGGTCTGCATTCAGAAGGATCTTGGTGGTGGTAGTGTGCATGTCGTGAGAGGTTTGAATGAGGGAAACTGCTTGTCACAGTTGAGATGACAGGAGGGCCTGAACTAAAGCCACAGCAGTGGGGAAGTACTGGGAGAGATGACAAAAGGGAGAAGGTTATAAGCTTCATCTGAAATGCCAAACCCACTGCCATCAAGTCGATTCCAACTCAATAGTGACTGTAAGACGTGTCAAATGGCCGAGAGGGTTTCCATAGTTTGTACAGAAGCTGGTCTTTCATCTTTCTCTTTCAGAGTGGCTGGTGTGTTTGAACCATTAACTGTTTGGTTTATAGTAAATTGTTTCAACCACTGGGCCACTTGGATTCTTTTTTTTTT